TAGATATATATGCAGGTTATATATATTGGTGGTGGTTGTTTGCTATGGAGTTGGTTCTGACTCATAGCAACCCTGTAAAGAGTTTCGGAGGCTGTAAATCTTTACACGAACAGAAAGCCTCATCTTTTTCCCCTGGAGCAACTGGTAAATTTGTACTGACCTGTGGTTAGGAACCCAGCTTGTAATCCACTAAGCTTCCAGGGCTCCTTAAATAGCTGATTGTTGTTGTGTTGTTGTCAAAAGATGTGAAGTTGTTTCTGACTATTGGAGGTTTCTAAGGAGTGGCTGGTAGGTTTGAACAGCCTTTCTGTAAGTCAAACTGACCTTGCCTTCTGTAGCCTGGAACAGACACTAGAGGCATCATGTTTTCCTTGAAATGGCCAATAGAGGGCAGTGAGAGAGCACAGATGGTGTGATATGGTATTAGCCCTTTGAGTATTGTCCTTAATTAAGAATAAATCATTTGATTTTGAACAAAAATTGCTTGCATATAAGAAAATCATGTAGTTGTATTTGACGTTGTGAAATAAACACAAAATTGAAGCCAACAAACAAATCCACCCTTGCAGAGGCTGGCATTCCTTGTTTGAGGGCCTACCGGGCAGGCCTAGCCTCGTCTCCCCATCCCAACATGCCTTCAGGTATGGCTACCTGACCTCAATGCTGCACAAGTCTCATTTCCCCAGACAGACCATCAGCATCACTCACAAGCCACCTGAGAATCAAATGATAGGCACACTCACCAGCAGTGAGGGCGCACAGCACCAGGCCCTGTACCTTACAGGTGAGGCAGGAGAGGTGGAATGGTCCCAGCTGGTGTCAGAACAGGACAGGTACCATGCTGTGCTGTCCTCACTCCCAGCTCACCAACGTGAGTGCTGAGAATGGTGCCCTCCTGCCCTCATGAAGGAATCCTTCGCTACAAGTGTGCTTTTGGAACCAGATTCCTGTTGTGTTATAAGATCAGGCCTTCTATGCTTTTACACCGGAGTCACAGAAACACCTAAAACTATTTTCACAGCTCTTTAGCGACTTTCAAAATGCTTCTTCCTGGTCACCCTTACCAGTAACAGTGAACTTTGAAGATACCATATATTGTTGCATTTTTTACTCTTACTAATGAATTCCCTTGAACACACAGGATTCCTTTTTATCCCTGGGTTTGTGAGTATTAATTTGTGCACATGAATTAACAACACTCTGTTGGACTATACAATGCCTGTTGTTGTTGTTATGTGCCGTGGAGTCGGTTCCAACTCATAGCAACTCTATACAGGGTTTCCAAGGCTGTAAATCTTTACGGAAGTGGAAAGCCTCATCTTTCTCCTGTGGAACAGCTTGTAGTTTCGAATTGCTGACCGTGAAATTAGCAGCCCGATTCATAACCACTATGCTACCAGAGCTCCTTATACAATGCCTAGAGCCTTTAATATTCTTTACTAATGAGTCTGAAAGTATTAATAGAAATGTGCTGGGCTTGAGGGTGGCTGGGAAGAAGGTGAATGATGGCTCCAGGTAGTAAGGATGAAAGAACCCTTTCTCCTCTTGCAGTGATCAAATGCTCAGCTACAATCTTGGCAGAAGGCTCCCAGCTGACCACGTGAGTGGGTACCTCCAGTTTAAAGTGGAGGTTACATCTTCTGTTCATGAAGGTGAGATGTCTGTGTAAATATGAGCATAGGAAAAAAATTAAATCTAATTCAGGTTACAGTTTGCCTTTGGACAAAATTGAATCTGTGTCCCATTCTATCAAACGATTACCTGCTGATGTAATTATCTAAGCAGATATGGAAAACTTGTTTATTAATAAAAAGATCTCTTAGGCTTAGGCCTTCACTTTGATACTGGATGTAGAGTTCCTTAGCAATACAAGCCTGCATACACGCCACACTAATTAAAGATATACTCCTTTTGTTTTACTGGGTGGTGAATCTGAGAGTTTAAAGCTGTAAGGAGGTTTCCATGGGACAGCTGAATTCTTTGTACAGTTTGGTGGTAAAGGACTAGGACATAAGAAGTGAACTGGTAATTACTATTCCATTATTTTTTTTAACACTGGTTTCTCATTTAGATGCTTCTCCAGAGGCTGTGGGCACAATACTTGGAATCAATTCTTTGAATGGAGACCTAGGAAGCCCTTCTGATGAGGAGGACATGCCAGGGGGCCACCATGATGGCCCAATGTGTTCCAATGGACCAGTGTCTGAAGAAAGTACCATGGATGGGACCCCCAAACATTCTTTCAGGACTAGCTCCACTCTAGAAATAGACACAGAGGAATTAGCCTCTACTTCTTCAAGGACCTCACCTCCCAGAGGACGTCAGGATTCACTCAATGATTATTTAGATGCTATCGAACATAATGACCATCCCAGACCAGGGGCAGCTTCCTGTTCAGAGAGGACCATGGGAGCCTCTCCAAAGCTAAGGAGTAGTTTTCCCACTGACACAAGACTCAATGCAATGCTTCATATCGACTCAGATGAAGAAGATCATGAGTTTCAGCAAGACTTGGGTTATCCATCTTCCTTGGAGGAGGAGGGTGGTTTAATAATGTTTAGCAGGGCATCAAGAGCTGATGATGGGAGCCTGGCATCTCAGAGAAAGCCAGAAGATAACCCAGTTGAGAATGACGAAGACTCCACAAATGAAGCCACTTCCTTCAAGGAGAAGCCGGAAAGTCTTCCAGAGCTTGCAGGTAGCTCCTTACCCTCAGACCCAGCTCCAGATGAAAATGAAAATGACCCAGAGTCTCAGCCAATTGCTGAGCAGGGGAGCAGTGAGTTGTGTGGCTCTCAAGAGGTGGATCAGCCCACAAGTGGGGCAGACACGGGGACTTCTGATACGTCAGGAGGAAGCCGAAGAGCCACCAGTGAAACTGAGTCCCTTGATCAGGGGTCTGAGCCTTCCCAGGTGTCCTCTGAAACAGAGCCGAGTGACCCTGCCAGGACAGAGAGTGTGAGCGAGGCCAGCACCAGACCCGAGGGAGAAAGTGACCTGGAAGGTGCCGATAGCTCCTGCAACGAGAGCGTGACCACACAGCTGTCCTCAGTAGAGACGCGCTGCTCGTCTCTTGAGAGTGCCCGGTTTCCTGAAACTCCAGCTTTTTCTTCTCAGGAGGAGGAAGATGGAGCTTGTGCAGCAGAACCCACCAGCAGTGGCCTTGTCGAAGGGTCACAGGATACCATATGCACTCCGGGTTCTTTACCTGTGGTGCAGGTGCCCAGTGGGGAGGAGGAAGGGCCAGGGGCAGAATCAGCCTCTTTGCCTGACCAAGAGGAAATGGGGGAGGTCTGGCAGCGGAGGGGGAGCCTGGAGGGAGCCACTGCTGCTGCTGAGAACCAACCTCAAGAAGAGGGTGACCCTGGGGATGCCCAAGGCACTTGTGAAGGGGCCACTGCCCAGGAGGAAGGTGCAACTGGAGGTAGGATGTGGAAGACAGCACAGCTCTTGGCTCAAACACTCCTATTCATAGGTTTTTTTCCCTCAGTGTAAATAATGCTGCAGGTCCCATATTATCTAGATTCTTTACCTTGGGTCCCAACAATTAGGAAGAGGAAGAGGGACAAGATAGAAAACAGGACCAAGAAGAGGAGAAACCAAAGAGAAATGTGTAGGCACTTGAAACCCTTCCTCTAAATTAGGCCTCTCATTTCATAACTGAAGGAGTCTGAGGGACTGAGTCGTTTACATAGCTAGAAGAAGGCGGCCCCAACTTGTATCCAGATAGGCAGAGTCCACCTTCGGTCTTCTCTTTTTTCACTCTTCTATTGCTGCCAAGTAACAGTCTTCAGACATAAATAACGAATCTCTATTGAGACCTGTGTTTGTAGATGCAAAGCAAAAATAGGTTGCTGGCTCCAGCAGGAGTATAGTCTGCAGAGGCAATTGGGAATGTCCTAAGTCACTGCTCCTTGCACAGAACAGAAGGTCAATAAGTGCTGCACACCCAATGCAATATCTTTGTTTTCTGCAGCATCAAATATGACAGTTACATTAAGTGGTACATTCTGACACTTAATTTATATTTTTATTTCACTGAATGTACCTTGATGGATGATTCCTTTAAAACACTCTATTATAGATGCATTAAAAAGTCAAAGGATAATTTCCTATGCTTAAATAGCAGAGACTCAAAAATCAGAATGACTTTGTCATTCTGTAATTTGTCTACTTTATCCTCTTCTTTCCATTTTTTTCCCCGTTAGTGTTGTGACCCTAAAGCATTCCCGGACACAGGCCACAATGGTGGTAGCAGGCATGTGGAAGGCAGCTAGACCTTTTCCTATAAGACCCTCTCATCTTTTGTTTCTGGGTCTTGATCTATGAAATGAGACAGAAGAGAGAAAAGAGACTGTAGCACTAGGGTTTATATTAACCTGGATTTATAAAGACTGCTTTGACAGGGAAGGGGAAACAATGCCTAGGTAACTGTTTTATCTTTAATCGTAGGTTCCCAAGCCAATGGCCACCAGCCACTGAGATCACTACCTTCAGTGCGCCAGGACGTGAGCCGGTACCAGAGGGTGGACGAGGCTCTCCCACCAAGTGAGGACCTGTTGAGTAAAGGGCTCACCTTGATCAAAGAGTTCAGGGGTGGCAGGGAGACCCATTCCCAGGGCTTAAAATGTGGACGCATGTTTCCCCATGAGGAAGGGATCTGGGGGGCTGCTACTTGCCATAGAAGATGTGGTTGGGAATGTGCTGAGTTGATGAATCCTCCCAGGTACTGCTCCACTAAGTGTTGGCTGTTGAGTAAGAAGTCAGTAGTGTCACACTGGATAGTAAATATGATCATAGACGTAGAGCCAGATCTTTGGGGCAGTTGGGTGGATAATAGAATCCATTTAAAATTATGCCTAATGGCAGCGTACATTTTCTGTTAGTAGATAAATTGGTATAATTTTTTAGAGAAATCTTGCTCTGTGTAATGTCTTGATTTTTTTATACACTTGTATGATTTTAAATCACTAAGCACAGGGTTTCGATTTTTTTCTTAGGGATATGCAGGGAGGCGCCATTAATTGCAGAAATTAGTCTGCCATTTATTTGGGACATAATAATTTTCTGGGAATTTGAAAGGTATTTCATTTCTGTCTTTTTCAAGAAACACTTAGTACTTATAGGAATGATAGTTAAGGAATAATTAGGATTCTGGAAAATACTTATGCAGCCTGTATTCAAAGGTTTGAGTGATACCCATGGCCAGTCATTATATGAACATAATTTATAGCTGTTTAGCTTCCTAAAATCTCTTAAAGCAGTGTTGCTCTGTGAGAGCAGAGCACTTCAATGAGCAATTATAAAGGAATTTTTAAGGTACCACTTGATAGCTTGTATAAGCATTCCACCTCAAAATCAGTTTGAACTGCAAGGTTGGCAGTTCAAACTCAGCCACTGCTCGGAAACCCTATAAAGGGTTGCTGTGAGTCATAACTAACTCAATAGCACTTACCAACAACAACAATGGACAACGTGTAGAATCTTGGTTTGACACTGTAGGGTAAGCAAGGTGTGGCTCAAAATCACTGGTTCAAACCCACTAGCTGATCCTCAGAAACCCTACACAGGTTTGCTATGAGTTGGAACCAACTTGACAGCACTTAACAACAGACAACTTGTAGGTCAGTGAACATTGTTTTTAAGAAACTATTGGAGAATACTCCTGTCCACCTTACTGTTTTCCCCCTTTATTCACCCACCAATTTTACTCTTCTTATTGTTGGTCAAAGCAAGAGGCTGATAACTTTGCCCCTCTGTACTTTTTTAAATGGTAGGCTTAAAGAGATGTGTTCATTTCATAGCTGAAATGCTGAGTGGTTAGTTTTGGTGAGTGCTGACAAGAAAGAATAGTACTACATAGAGTTTGTCAAAACATTGGTTTGACCCTTCAGAATTCTGTTGTGCATAAATCCTTTCTTTGTTCATATGTTTGGAGAACTGAAAATTTTTACTCATAGGAAATGGATATTTTAAGCAGTGCTTAAAAAAAGAAAAACAGGCCACAAGATTAACAATTGCGCTGTCTGTTCTCTTAATCAGATTTGGGTAGGGGTGGGAACTTCCTTATTGTTTACCTTTAGAGAATAGGTTAGAGGCTGAAAAAAAAAAAAAAATCCTGATGAATATTTACATAAATTAAAGCAAAAGGAATTAGGATCCTCAGGACAGCATTTTAGGAGAACTTTGTTTCTGTGTGTATATGAATTAACAGTAAGGAGTTTCAGGGGTCTGGGAAAGAGATATAAACCGTTGCATGAATACATCAATAAATACCATCCCCCTAGCCACATCCAATTGCTCTAAGTTTTGTTACACTCTAGTTTTGGTCTCTACATGTTATTTAGTAATGTCTGCTCAGGTATGTGCCTGCTCAGGAATGAGCTCTACTATTTTATGATATTTCAATCGTTTCTGTAAATACTGATATTTGCATTACACAGAATACATTTTTGGATTTTTTTTTTTTTTACAAGCAATTGGCAGTTCATTTTAATAAGTTGATATATAAAAATATTAGAGCAATTTAGTGGCCTATCCTATTTGATGAATGATAGATAGATAGATAGATAGATAGATAGATAGATGGAAAATTCTTCAGAGCTGTACCTTTTTGGGGATGGGGTGCTACCACATAGGGAACATATGGAATGTCTGGGTTGTTCTTCAGTAGTGTTTGTACAGTGCTTACTTGTATGTAGTAAGTGGGAGCAGGGATGCTAAATATCCTGTCAGGTTGGAATCATGGGCTACATCAAAGAATTGGCCTGCCTCACATTCTGACAGTATGTTCACTTAGAAATATTGTTGTTGTTAAGTGCTGTTGAGTTGGTTCTGACCCACAGCAACCCTGCATAGGGTTTCCAAGGAGTGACTGGTGAGCTTGAACCACGGACCTTGCAGTTCAAATGGCTTTGCAGTCTGGCGCATTAACCAACAGCGCAAATACATGTCTACAAATACCATCTTAAAATAAAATGTAAACAGATTTGTATTTTTTAAAAAACATAGAACTGATAATGCCTCTACAAATACATGTTTAAGCACACACACACACCCTCCTATTTCAGGACCAGGCACCCTCTAAATTGAGGGGTTTGCATTATCATGGGTAGGTTACTGATCTCTGTTCAACTCTGTCCCCTCTGTCCCACAGTGTTCTGTCCCCTCCCATCCCCAGTGTCTCTCATGCTTTAGACAGTCTTTTTAATCACTTTGCTGCCCTGGTTAGTTGTCTGTTCCCACCCCAGCTGGTTCTCTGCCTTCCTTTCCCACCTGGGCAATTCTGCCTCCACCTCTGGCCATGTTTCTGACCTGCAGCTGTGGCATTCCGCATTTTGTGGTGCCTTCACACAGCACTGTCCTGAGAGGCTCAGGTAAGGGGTATCTGGTGGCGTGTGCAAATTGTTTCATCTCTTAAATTCCCTGGATGAATTATTTTAAAGCCAAAAGTTGTACTTCCAACAATATTAATTATAATACCTCAAACTCATATAGTGTTTTACAGTTTACAAAACACATTTTTTATGTATTGCCCTTTTTTATTCTTGTAGCAATTTTGTGAGATAAGTCCATCAGGAGTTACACCCTTATTTATGGAGAGATTCATGGAAAGTAGCCAATCTAAGTCTTTCATTTTATAAATAATAGAAAAGTTTTAAGTCCAGAAAAATTAATAACTTGTTTAAGAGCCCATACTAGTAAAGTTTTGGTAGAATTGCAAACAATCCTTCTCCTCTACCCAGTATTAGTTTGATCTCATCTAATATTGTTAAGGGAATCCCTGGATGGTGCAGCTAGTTAATGCACTTGGCTGCTAAACCAAAAGGTTGGAGGTTCAGATTCACCCAGAGGTACCTTGGAAGAAAAGTGTGAAATCTATTTCTGAAAACTCAATTATTCAAAACCCTACTGATCACAGTTCTACTCTGACATGCACTGACTTTCCACGAGTCCACATTGACTCAGTAATTGGGATCTGGAGTGATTATCAGGGAAGGAGCTATTGTGGGTAAGTGAATATAAGTTCTGAAAGTTCGGTTAGAAGCAGAATAGTGGCTTAGATTGTGGTGTGTTACTTATTGAACACAAGGGACACCTCAGATTGCAGTGTTTGTGGGGTTTACGGAGCTTCATGATATTATAATGCTTTGAGGTCAGCCCCACAAAGGCTCAGGAAATGCTTCGCTTTCCTCTCCTGCTTAGGAATAAGGTTCCACAGCAGAGGTCTCTCTCCTGAGGCCCTTCTCACCTATGAGTGAGGAGAAACGGCTACAGTGTGTATGAGGCAGTCTTACTGGACTTAGTACAAAGACTGCTCAGCACTGTGATGATGGTCTGTCTACCTTTTGGTTCTCAAAGTTTTTCTCTTGCTTTAGGACACAGGTACCTTATTATGAGCCTTGTAACGCCAAGCGTTGGGTCAGAGATGTACTGATGAGTCATAGAAAATAGGAATGCTTCCGGCCTTGGAGGTGCACAGCACTGTTGAGAACTTCCCAGTGAAGTGACGTGGACTTGACATGCAGCGAGCACTTGAGTAATTTGCTGTATCTTCTCTTTCTGAGGTGACTGATTGGCACTGGTGGCTAGAGACAGTTCAGGAATTAATCCCAAAAGAACATTATCAGTATGATAAATCTTTGTCTCTTCAGCATTAAGAGAAAAGAGAATAACCAGCCAATCCCTTATGAAAATAGTTATTTTATTTTTTTAAAACATTCTGATTTAATTTTGAATGACTTTGTTTTTTTCTTATTGGCCCAACATAATTGTGACTTAACCAATTACTGTAACTGGAGACAATATGGAATTGTAGAAGAGGACCATTTTCCCAGGGATTGGAATAGATTCTAGATGAACATCCTGGGTTACTGGACTCTGATAGGATTCCAAGATTGCCATTTTGTTAGTGCTATAGGAGAAACACTGACCTGCTAGCTGAAAAGTTGGCAGTTCAAACCCACCAGCCACTTCTCGGAAACCCTATACAGGTTTACTATGAGTTGGAACTGACTAGATAGCACTTAACAACAACAGTGATTTACTTTTGTATTGAGTTCTTGTGGTAGGTCTGACAAGCCATGGTGGACACTGGTCATTTTTTGTTTCGTACATTCTCTTTATTAAAGCATCCTTTAAAATGAAGGTCTAAATGTAGGAGTAATCGGAAATGTATAATTTATCTTAGAGTTTCTACTCTTAAAGTTAGGGACTCTTAGTCAGTAGAGCTTAAAATCCAGTTATGAGCAAGAAAATGGTACCTTTTTAATCTACAAGATGACTTTCTAAAAAAAAAAGGTAAACATTAAGATACAGAACTTGCAGGCACTTGATATTTTTAACTCAGTGAGCTCTAATGGCATAGTTACTGACAGAAAGATCAGCATTTCTAACCCAGGAGCCATTCCACAGGAGAAAGATTTAGCAACTTGCTTCCATAAAGATTATAACCTTAAAAACCCTACTAGTCAGTTCTCCTCTTTCCATAGGATCACTGTGAGTCAGAATTGACTCAACAGCTCACAATCACACTGAATTTAGCTCCC